TAGAATTCTGTTCCATTAAGTAAAAAATAAGAAACCAAACCTTTTTGAAAGAAAAGCTGACTGAATTTCACATTGAATTGGAATTTTCTGATGAAATATTCGAGTGATGTCTAAAATTAATTGAATCTACTTCTTATGACTGTTCTAAACCTTCAGCTTTGCTAAACTTAACCTTTTCAGATCCATAAATTAAATTTCAAACTAGCTCCATCCTCTTTATTAAAAATAATGACCTAATGCCAATCCTAAAGCAATTTAGAGAATCAATATAAAAAAAATGCGTCCAGCCCCATTAAGAACATCTTATGCAATCCAATTTTAAATATATATATTTTCTCCATCTCAAGATAATAATCGCTAATATGATTCCAAGATGTACAAACATACACGTATCCATGTGAAAAATAAAATAATGAAGCATGAAAAGAATCAAATTTGTAGCATGTGCAAGATGGTGTGCCTTAGATCTAAAGCCGATATAAAAAAAATATATATTATAATAATGTATATAAATTATTGTATAGGAAAAATCAAGTTTCGAGAGATATCTTTATTATTATTATTATATTAAAGTGAGCGACGCACACAGGCATTTTGTTATTATGATTCTTTCTACTCCATAAAACGAGATTTTTGTTTTCATCTTTCTTATTTTTATTTTTTCGTGCGCTTGCTTTTATAAATGAGACGTAGGATGAAAGATTTAAAGAAGAAAAGAAAATGTTTTCTTTTTTTGAGATCAAACACAGCATGATATACCCAGAATTGTATATATTTTATCCTCCTTCATTCTATTCTTCTTGTTCGTATGCATTTCATGGAAGTCTGCGCTCTTCCATGTCTATTTTGAATCCCTATAGACTTGCACACTTTAACCCTTGTTTAATGCTACACTCTGCTGAATTTTTGATACATTTTTGTGCTATTTTTGAGTTTTGGTTGGATGATGTTATTGTGGCTGGTTTGTCTGTTGTGCAGTTTGCTTCAGTCATACTATAAGCGAATCCAAAACTCTTGTGAGAGATAAGGTTTGGTCCTTTAAGTTTGATTTGTCTTTCTGAATGCTTATCCTAGCTTTATGCTGTCTAATTATGTATCACATGGTGCAAGAAGGTCTTATTATTTGCGTTACATAGATTTTGGTATAAGGATCAATCCCTACAAAGTATAAGACGTCTTCAATTTGATTCTGCACAGCATAAACTGATATTTGCAAAGAAGTGACCTAAATTTCCTCTTCGTTACTCAAATAAGTCTGATTGACTTCATTTTTGGACTCGTTTGATCTTCAAATTTTGTTTTAAAACTCTTTCGTGGTCGTCAGCAGGAAGAAGGATCCAAAAAGAGTCCAAACCTTCAGCATGTGACTCCCTTAAGTTGAATCAGCTCTGAATTTACTGTTTGATTTGATCAAAAGAGAGCTTATCGAGTTAAGCGAGACCACAATAGATGCGCTCTTATACCAACACCAAAAAGGACATACTTTCCATAACTTTCAATTTTTATTTATGAAATGCTTGAAATTCTTTCTCCCTTAAACAATCAACAAAGTCAAGATGTAGGGGATATGTCTGTGAAAGGGTTTTGCAATCCGAACAACAAAAATTTAATGCATGACTTATTTCGAGCATATCGACAAAGGACAAAAATTGCATTAAATATGAATTAAAAAATCTTTCATGTGACATAAAAAAATGGGATAGATAGGAAGACGAGCAAGAAGAGGAAATGAACAGACAAGCTGTGTAATAAAAATGTGCAAACAAAGCCCAAACTATGACATGAAGAAAACTATGAAATTATTACATTTTATGATTTTATTAGTCTTGTTATTCTCTGCTTGAGATCATCATGATGATGATATCATAAGGAATAATTTTTTTATTATAACAGCAAAAGAAGAAAAGGATATCTTGAAAGTTAAAGCACAAGAAAGAAATCACGAATGGTCTTGTGAATTGCATCAATATACTTTATGTTGTCATATTATTAAATTGTAAGCGGGTTTTTATAAACGACATGTTGAGATAAAAATATTCTCTTATTATTTTTGTGTTGTACAGTAGCTTAATAGGTACAACTTTGTTGGCTTTTTAATAGGTTTTTAAAAGTTAATTGATTTTTAAAAGCTGTGCTTGAGTTTTAAGTGGGAAAATTAAAAGTTATGAAAAAAAATATCGAGCGAGTTACAAGGAAATTGAGATTATTCAGATTGGATTACTAGGCGTAGATGTTGAGGATATTTTAAGTGGTTGGAAGCATTTTTGAGGTTTTCTTTGAAGTTTGAAGCATATTTGGATTTTGAAATCATTTTCATCATTTAATGATGTTAAAATAACTTTAAATTTGATTAAAATTTCTCTGCAATTGACTCTTGGATGATGTCTAGAGATTAGGAAAGCGAGAATAAGACCAAAATAGCGAAGCTAAATTAGTTTAAAGTCAAGTCAATTTTACAAAATTCAAAATTCGTACAAATTTAGCTGGGTCGATTCTTAGGGTTATCTTAGTTGTGGTTAGGTTTTATTTAAATGTAGTTCCTCAATAGTCCTTAACAGACAAATGACTAAACTCAATTGTCTGCTAGGGAGTGTTACCTCATAATGTATTTTATTGACTTTCAACCTAAAAACCCAATACTAGCTTTAAAAAATAATTTTTGAAAAATGTTTTTTTTTTTTCAAATTCACCGACAAAAAAACTTCATTTTTAAAGCTCAGCCGCAACTCATTTAAAAGTTGTAATAATTTCTAACGATAACAAGGCCATAAAACAACCTCGATACTTTCACGTTTTTCCATTACATATCATATATTCTCACCGAGAGTACATCTGACGTAATAAGTTGACGACAAATTGTTTTTGTCAAAATCCAAAAATATTGAACAACATCTCATTGTAGATATTGTCACAAGATTTATTATATTGCATGAAATTTCATTTTTAGTTCAGCTTCTCATTTCCTCCTTTGTCTCGAGATATATATTTTTATGGCCATGCTTCTTTACTTTTTTTATGGCTGTCTTGAAGAAGGTAGAAAGATGTCATGTTACATTATGTGATTATTGCCATAATCTTCAAAAAAGACAGAATTCATAATTAGTTTATTAAATTTTTTTATACCATTTTATTGATGCAATTATGACATCCATCATGAAGTGCAATTAACATATAAAAAAATATTTTATGGGCGTTAATGTACATCATCATCATCATCATCAGCATGGGTCAGGGTCAGAGTTCAAGTATTTTATGAGTTCAGATAAGAATAAAAAAAAGGAGAAAGAATTGAAAATACATTTTATTGCATTTCACAGCCGAGCCAGGCAACATTACCAAAATAATAAAAACAGAGACATGAGTTCAGTTTGCGCTTAGACTGGACGACAGAGGTCGCGGAAGTTGTATAAAATTTTCAGTTCACTTCCAAAGAAACATGCATGAATAAAAGAACTGAAGTAGCGTAATCGAATAGCACACAATGATGCAATCTGAATTGAAATTTCTCGTCTTTACACATGTCTCACTAATACATCTATATGCCTGCCCTGTACGTACACAGCGGGTTTCTGTTCCGACACAATTTTTTGATATTTTTTCTTCTTGTTTTCATTTCGGTGAGAAAGGCACATGCGTGTTTCATATTAAAGAAGAGATTTCCTTCACATCACATTCGAGTATTTCTGAGAGATGTTTGTTTCGGTTGTGTTATAAGACATTCGTGTCTGCTTTTGCCTTCAGCGCTTTATAATACAGAAAAATATTGACACATGTATTAAAAATATAAAACAAAATAAAAACACACAAAAAAATACAACAGAACAAATGAGTCGTGCTTCAGTTTTTCATTATTGTTTGACGCGATAGGTTGCCTTTTTGCAGGCCACCGTGATTTTTCTCGTACACTTGATCGTGACGTTCGAAAAAGATTATATATATTTTTTTCTGTTACGAAGAAAAAAAAAATACAAAAAAATAAAGTTTTTTTTGAGAAGAGAAAAAAATTTCCTTTTTCTCGAATCGGAATTGGAATTTTTGTGAGGAAATTCAAGAACAGAAATATTAATTTTCTATGTGGAAAAATTCTATAAACTTTGTGGAATTTTGTGGGACTTGAAAAAAAATCGAGGAACTTGTAAATTTTGAAGAATTGTAAAAATTAGCCTAAGGACCCGCAAAACGTACTCAAAAAAAATTAAAAAGTCAACAAAAAATTTTAATAAGCAACAAAAAATTCAAAAAGCTACTAAAAACCCAAAACACACTTGAAAAATTGTAAAAAATCAAAAATTAAAATTTTTCTACACAACAAAAAATAAAATAAAATTCTGACTGATCAGAAAAAAAAAATCCAGTCAGAAAAGTGAAGCACCGACAAAAAAAAGGAAATATTTTAAAGACAGCAACAGAAGTAAAATTTCCATAGATAAATAAAAAAAATTATTGACACACAGCATGTAAAAAAAGAAAGATGATGTTGTGAAGAAGAAGTCATAAACCTGTGCTTATTGTTGCTAGTGAGTGCAAGAAACCTATGGGATTAGTGCAATAAAAAAAATATTAATTCTTGGAGCAACAAGACATATTGAGACTCAAGACATGTTTATGAATAGCCAAAATAAAATTTATTGTCTGCATTTTAACTAACTTGTTGATTTTTTCTACTCTCTTTCATACGTGAATATTTTTGTGCAAAAATAACGGACGAAAAAATAAATTAATTTAATTTAATTAAAATTGATCATCAATCTGGAACGAATTGTGCAACTTACAAAAAAAAAAAATCTTTGTCATGATGTGACACGAACAAAAAAATCTATGTGAATAAAATATACAATAAAAAAACAATTGCGTGCGGCGACGACGAATGGATGAAACAAAAAAAAAATATGCATGGTTCATTTGATGTGTAATATAAATTTCTTCTTTACTATACGTACAACACCCGCTTATACATAATCGTAACAATAACAATTCCAAAACTTCCATGCATTACTCCTCATCGATGTTACTTTATCGTGAATTGTGAATCGATACACAAAAAAATTATAAATTGTGAATATTTAAAACTATTTGAAAAAAAAAAATCCTTAAAAAATTGTGAATAATTGATTTTTATCGGCTACAAAAATTACGATAATATCCTCATCTCACCACTACACAACTATTCCACTGGCGTGCGCGCTCTACGACCCCCACCACGATGTCTCGGCAGGGTCACACGCTGCTGGGCCTTGGTGGGGGACTCAACCCCATCACACACATCCAGCCAGTGCTGCTATGTATGAGGACACCACTGGACAAAACACAACGACTCATCATCACCACAGTCCGCCATTGTTATCATCACACAATCCAAACACATTGCTGTCATCGCAACAGCAACAACACAGTGCAACAGCCCAACCACCTCATACACCTCAACAAAATTCGCAAACGAACGGTACACATACAAACGGTACAGTGGCGTCTGCACAACCACAACAGATTACGCCATCGGCGACTAGTGACTCACCTGTATCACCACCGACAGGTAAGTTTTGCAACTCTTTTGTGGTGAATTATGATTTATAATGAACATTTGCATTAGGTCCCCTTCACATACCGGCGATTCCTGCAGCAAAGAGGCCCGGTTATGAAGACGGGTCACTATTAAGGCAGCCATGGGGCTACGATCCGCCATTCGACTACAATTACACAACTGGCTATCCATACTCTATAGAGCGAGATCGAAAAGTATTTTATCCGTCTTATCCAGATCAATATGCTCAAGTAAGGACATAAAAAAGACTCTTCAATGTCGTGTATTTATTTCTCATTTTTTTTCTTTCCTCCTTCTCCACTTACCAATCGTATCTGTACAAAAACATCAGCATTATTGGAATCGTGAACAACAATTTCCTGTCGAAGAGAAGCCTATTATTACGCCAAGGCAAACAGAGACGACATCGAGCGCCCAAAGTTCGTATGAGAATACTTACACAAACAGTTTAAGATCATATACGAGTGACCCTGCTGGATATTCAACAACTGGTGAGTTTTTTGAGACAGATTTTCATAAGAATTGCTAAATTTACTTATTTTGTGTGCTATTGTGTGTCACTTGTACTAAAAATTGTTGGTTTGGGGAGTTTTTTTTGGGTTTGTTTTGTGGATGATGATAATTAAACAGGACGTTGAGGTTGAAAAAAATAGAAATTTAAAAATTACTTTTGTTAAGGTTCACAAGAAAATCAAAAAAAAATAATAAGTTGAATTTCATTAGCTTTGCAAAAAAATATGAAGTTTTGAATTCAAAAGTAAATTAAAAGTAAAAATTGAAATTTTTGAAATTTAATTTTTCAAAAATATTGAATTTTAAAAATTAAAAAGGTTTTATATTTTTGAAAAATTAAGAACCAAAAATTTTAAAATAAAAATAAATATAAACATTAAACTTCAAAGTTAATTTTTTAAAAAAAAGTTTTGAATTTAATAATTTTATGATAAAAAGGTTAAACAATTCAAACGTAATATAAAAAGAATTTAAAAATATTTTAAAAAATTACAGGTTTAGAATTTTCACCAAATTGAAATAATTGATTTTTCAATCAAATTAAAAAAGCTCAGCATATTTTAAAATTTTGTTCTAAATGTCTTTTAATTTTTTCAAAAAAAAACTTCATTTGTTCTTTTTGTTTTAAAAATTTAAAACTTCACTTTTTAAATTACAATTTAATTTTTGAATGTTTTGAATTTTAATTTATTTTGGAACTTTAAAAGTTAAAATAATTGAAATATTTTAAACTTCGAATTTTTCTAATTGAGTGTAAGTTTAAATAGGATTATCAAATTTTAAACAAGTTGTTAAACAATTTGTTGAACAAATTGATCAAGAATCTAAATTAAGTCACTAGAGATCAACCTGTAAACCTCAAAACTCTCAATTAATAAACTTTATCCACAAAACAATCCAAAACCACAAACATTTCCCGAAACAAAAAATAACTTGCATTTTTTTTCACATGGAATGCAACAAACAAGAATGTCGTAAATTTTGTTGTGTTGGAACTGAATGAGCTTGAAGACAAATTGAACAAAAAAAAAAAAATTATAGCATTTTTTTATTATCAAAACAAACAATTACATTTTGCCATTAATCAATTGATAACGATTTATATTGCCGCTAATTGTCGCACATATATAATATATATAACAGACTAACTTTAAAATGAAATTAATTACTTATCATAATCATCATTAGGCTATTAAAAAATCGACAATTTTTCACTTTTATTTTCAACTCGACGGAAAAGGAAAAGAAAAATTGTTTTGAGTTGAAGGAACAAGGAGGGCAATTAAAGGGTGCATATTACTTTATAATTTTATGACTCTATAAAATAATTATTGCCTGTTCTCTGTGCTTTACTGCTGAGTTCCTTGACTGTATACATACAAATGTATGCAGGCTCTTATACAATCATACACGAGTATAAATTATTATAATGTCGAAAAAAAGAAGAAGATAATATTTTTAATGAGAATTTTTGCAAGCATGCATGTGCAATCGAGTATCTTTCCTCATATCTTGTTAATTTTATTTTTGGTTAATTGAAGGACTGACCAACGTTTTAAGTTTCGTGTCATTTATTGAGATTAAAATATATTTTTTTGTATATCTTAATTTTCATTTTATAGAATTTTTGTGGGGATAAGAAATATTATTGTGGATTAATTAATGAATTTGAGGTGTGTTTTGAAGTTATGGAGTAGCACTTTAAGAGATTAAATTTGTTGAATTGCAGGTGATTCGAAAAATGGGTTGAGAAATTGATAACAAAATTAGTTTAAATATGTTTGCATTTTTGTTTTAATTTGAAAACTGTTTGAGTCCACTCAACTGAGATTGATAGACTAAGATGCTTAAAACTCTTAGAAGTAACTCCAAACTTAACAATATAATGCTCATTATCCCCCAAAAATACAAATATAGTCAAAACTTTCCAAGATCTGTTAATTTGTCTCTAATCAAAAATTTCCACAAAAACAAAATTTTCAAGAAGAAAAATAATTCAAACCAAAAAAATCCCCCATTCCATTTCCCAAAACTCTTTTTCTCATTACAATATCTCTCCCATATGTACACACATGCATGACAGCAATTTTCTTTATCCTCCATCGTGCCATTTTCTAAATATTTTCAAAAGAAAAAAAAAACGGTAGTTTTAAATCATTTTTAATGAAAATATACAAATCAATGATCATAAAATTCCTCACATTTGTATATGAACTCCAACAGCAAACGGTCGATGAATGAAAGGATTTAAGTCTGACAGAAGCAGTTCATCTGCATTTTTGATTTACACAGTAAATCAGGAATGAGATTTGTTTAAGATAAACATTTCATATTTACTTGAATCAAATAATTTTTTTTGTTTCCCCTTCTTGTTCATTCTCATACATTTTTTTGGGAGTAAATATTTATGTCTATAAGAAAAATTCTCTTTTTTCTTGCCTTTTATTCTTTTCTTGTTCGTTTGAAAACTAACATTAGAAAAATATGGCGCACAAAACCTTGATGAAAAATTAAAATTAATTTAGGAGAGGCATTTTTTTGTGATGAAACTTGTTTGTGATGTATATGTGGCAGGAGCATAGTGAGAAAGCTACAATAAAGATGCTCATGGTTCCCTGCCTCTTTAAAATCATCAACTATAGCTATGATCACACCAGACTCCACCTTGATGACATGTTATTAGATTTAACGTTTATTTTGCTGGATTTTTAATGATTGACTTGATTCATATCAACTGCTAGTTCTGCTAGTGTCATATTCAAGGTTTTGTGTGTCTGCGATCAAACTTGATTTAGCTTTATAACTCATCTGCAACTCCATTAGCTTTTTTGACTCGAAAGCTTCAACTAGACATGCCAAGATAGTTCACAGCTCCTCAATTCCAGTTGCTCTCCTCTAGTGACACGAAACTTCTTTCCTATCTCCCTAAATACACCCCTTCATACTTCAACACTTTACCTTTACCTCAAAAAATCGTGACAAAATTAAAACAAAAGAAAATGTTTTCCTCTTCGTCTGTGCTGTCTTCCTGTATGTGATAAAGAATATTAAAAAAATTAAAAAATTGCTGTAATGTTGTAATATTTTCTCATACATGCAGCGCTGTCGAAATAGTTGGAAATAAGAATGAAAATTAGATGGAGATAGAAGTGCACAATGAATGTGTGCATGCTTGGAATATATTTTTTGTAGTTTGACTGTTGCTCACTACTTGATGATAAAATGAAGTCAAATGAACGAGGAAATGTATTGAAATTTCTTAGATTGTTAAGTCTTAGGATTAGATTTTTTAAGAAGCTTTTTAGCCACAAAAGACACCCAAAGACCCAAAAGTTCCCAATGACTCCCTATCCACTTCTAAAATTGTCACATCAATCATCAAAACTCCAGACATTTTTCAAACCTTGAACCGCACATATAAAGCAACTCCATTGAATAACTCTCTCATCTGTTTTCCATATTTGTGATAAAAAAAAAAACTATAAATTACAAAATTGTGCACTGCATGAAAATAATGAAATTAACCTCACGATCTGCATAGTGTGTTTGTTGTCGATAGAAATTAATCTAATGCAATAATCAATGCTGCGCAATATTAAAAAAGTTTTTCTTTCTTCTTTAATAAAAAAACGCCAAGCAACTAAAAAAAGAGTTTTTCTTTGTGCCAAAAACCTCAGCACGATTTTTATTTTGAAGCTAACCCACAAAAAAAAAACTTCTTATGAAAAAAAAAAATTGATTATATTTTTTACCTTATTATTGTTTGCAGATCATATTAAACGAGAAATTGATTTTAAGCGTTATTACGGTAAAAATTTAGAAAGCGATTATGAGTTTTTATCATCCAGGAGATCTCTATACAATGATTCAAAAGGTTAATATTCCAAATAGTAGATATAAAGCAAAGCACTTTAGAAAAAAAAAAAATCTGTGCTACATAAACAATCAATTGGGAGCTGATTTTTATGATTAAGTAGCGTGTTTTCTTGATTGATGTGGTGTTGGGAGTTTATGGTGGCTGTTTGGGTGTGTTGGGGATTTTTGTGAGGGATTTGATGTCGGAATTTCGATTAGGGACTTACATTTTGACTGGAATTTAATAGAAGCTAAGGTTTCGGGTTAGAGTGCATTAGTATATAGTCTAAACTTAGCAAAGAAAATTATTAAAATACAAGTCTAAGTCTATGCATGATGAGCTACTCAAAAAATACAATTTTACCATTAGATGTTCTTTAAAGCTTCCGAATAAAGCGGATTAGGTTAAAAAAAAACCGAACCTAATTTAAATATAGCTATGACCAACTATGACCCCATCAAAAGTAAAAAAATCCCTACTTTCTCATCCTCAACTAGGAGATATACTTACTTCGCTGGCCGTACTGATCAATTGTGATCCATGGCCTCCCTTAGAAGACATACAAACAAAATCATTAGCCCCCCCCATCAACACCAAGAAAATGCGCTAAGATCAGTCCCACAACTATGAAAAATCGAAAAAAAATTTAAATGTGTATGAATTGATTCCCTTCCACTTATCCAATCGTTTTATTTTGTTTTTCGCGCATTTTATTTGCTTGGGAAATGAAATAACTCATCAAATTAAATATTTCAAGTATCAAATTAATTATTTTGACATAAAACGCCGTTTTTATGAATCATAACAATTTTTAATGCTCGTCTTCTTTTTTTGAATGAATATTATTATTATTGTGTGAGAGAGCGAGAGAGTGTAGGCGCATTTGGGGAAGCGGCAGCACGCGACAAATAATCTTGTGTGTTTTGCAAAAAAAAAATTTGAATATGATTATAATAAATCAATAGGTGTGATTTACAGCTTTAATCTCAGAAACGAGACTCAATACAAAAAAAGAATTTACAAATCTCATAAATTTTTTTTTCTACGTAAATGATGAGTGTGAAAGTAAACTACACGCAAAATGAGCAATAAAATATTTATTTTTTCGCTCACTCACTCATTCTCGACATTCGGAGTATAAAAGAATCAGCTGATAAATTTAATGACTTATTTTTTTTTATGGCACATGTATGTTTTCAAGATGAATGAAGACGCGCAGACAGACAACAGGCACTTTTTTTTTTCATTTTTATGGGTAGCATCTCTCTCTCTTTCATGGATTAAAAATCAATGATCAATGGGTATCAACAAGTATTCCGTGAATGGTTCTTATGTTATGTGTGTATATGTGTGTGCATCTTGCGGTCAAGAAGGATTTTTGAGGAGTCATAAAAATATTAATAAAATTCATATCTATTTTATTGCTTAGGTTCAACAATCACAGGATCATCGGCAATTGGATCAGCCACACCATCAAATCCACTAGAATGGCCAAATCAAGTTGTAACCGTCCGTAAAAAACGTAAACCTTATTCAAAGTTTCAGACTCTTGAGCTCGAGAAGGAGTTTCTTTTTAATGCATATGTTTCGAAGCAGAAACGATGGGAACTGGCAAGAAACTTGAATCTTACAGAACGTCAAGTCAAAATATGGTAAGACTTGTTATTTATTTATTAAGGGATTTGTTGATTATTAATTGATTTTTTTCTTTCTGTTTTTTCTTGGTTCGTCTCATTTTAGGTTCCAAAATAGGTAAATTGAAGTTCTTAATTGTTTGCGCCTCTTTGGGGACAATTGAATATTACGTGACCGTTATACTAACATCAACATTATCTTTTAAATTGTGTAAAGCATAATATCTATCAAACAAGACCCCAACTAGCCTTCTTATCGTCACGTAACATTCAACTGACCCATTAACCACTTAGAAAATTTTTATCAATTTTCTCAAACCCAAATTTTTCCTTATTTTCACAGGAGAATGAAGAATAAAAAAAACTCGCAAAGACAGCAGGCAAATGTAAACAACGCAAATTCAAACAGTCATAATCATAATCATGCACCACCCCAAACGCATCACAATGCTCATCACATCGGTTTGGGTCTCGGTATGCATCATCATCCACCAAAGATGCACCATCAGTGACCTCCCCAGCACGTGACATCGTCAACACCATCTTCTTCGTCAACAACAACTGGACTTGCATCATCGATTATTCCACAGCATCAACAACAGCAACAGCTACAAAATCATCATTTACATCATCATCAGTTGTCATCAGCTTCATACCAACATTCTACAGATATCATTAGCTACTAAAAGTTTTTCTTTGTGGATATGAATCAAGTCATAAATTGTTGACTAAGAAGAAAATTAAAAGAAATCACTGAAAAAAATTGAGAAAATTGAATGTTTGAATAAATCCTTGCATTGTTTGAATACATTTGCGCTGCTGTCTACATAAATTAAAAAAAAATTGCTTGTAAATTTTTCAAAAAAAAAAATAATAAGAAGAAGTAGTAATGATCAGAAGATAAGAGAAACAACAACATTAAATAATCATTTAACAATTAAAATTACTTAGTTTTAGTCGCATTGATAATTATTTTTAATATTATACTTATTAATAAATATTAATGATATATGATAATGAATAATATTAATTATAAAAGTAATAATAATAATAATTATAATAATAATTCTATTGATATCTAGTAGCATGTAAAAGGTTTTACTTTTTTGGGAAGTCTTTTTAGTTTGTTTAAAATCTTTGATTAAAATGAAGAAGAAACATTTTTAAAAATGGGGTTTATTTAAAATGCAAATATTAAAGTTATTTGAAACTTTGTGAATAAGAATCAAAGATTTGAAATAAATCATTTGGAAGTTCTTCAATTTTTGAGCGAGTGAACCAAATTGACTAGTTGAACAAAGTTGAATCTAGTTTAAACTAGTTGTACCTAGTTAAACTCGGTTCAACCTAGTTCAATTTGGTTAAACCTTTTTCAAATTGGTTCAACCTAGTTGAATCTGGTTCAACCTAGTTCAATTTGGTTCAACTTAGTTAAATCTATTTGAATCTATTCAACTTTGATTGAAAAAATATAAAAACTCATTAGAGACAATGAATATAGGAGCTTTTTTTGTTCAATACGTTCAATAAGTTCTTTAAGTTAATTCAGACTTTGAAACATAAAAATCTGTTCAGCTAAACTTGAGTCGACTTCTCATACCTAGCGACCAGGAGTTGTAAACATATTCATTACCTGACCTTAAGAGATACAATCGTACTTTTATCCTCATTTCAAATTCCTTATTTAACTCTATACTCTCAATAATATTATATTTACATGAAATGAGTATAAGAAAAGGGGACAACTTGCTTGTTTTGTTCACAAAGTTTTAAATAAATTATGTATGATTTAAAATAAAAAAAAAATTATTGTAATGAAAATAATTGAAATCGTCACGCACTTTCTTGTTTCTCAAATGCCTGAAATTTAAATAAATTTTTATTTCTTTAAAAATGACTGAATGAATAATTTTTTAAGGCTTTGAGTTTGTCAGATGAAGAAGAAGAAAATTAAGTTCTCTTTGTTACGTACCAGGACACAGTGAATATTTAAATAGTACTATAAATATATAATATATACATAAAATGAAGTCTAATTGAGATTTTTTTTACAATTTATGTTAATCTACATGAAAAAGAAAGAAGTAAATTTGTAGATTAAATGTTACAAAAATAGAAAATTGATAGTTTGAGGTGAATTACAAGATCATTATGTAAATTTTTATTAAAATCTCATTTTTTTATTAATTCTTTGTTTGTTTCTCAAATTTGTTTCTATGTGAATTTAATTTAGATTTATTTGTTCATTTATTTTTTACACACAAACACAAAAACACATCTCTACTTTTTTTTGTTTAGTATAATTGTGATGATTATGTATTTTTTTCTAATATTTTAACTTAATTTTTGATTGGAGACATTTTTTTGTGCTCTTCATGACAATTACCAGTGACACATGATTTATAGATGTAGACATAAAAAAATAAATAATATGAAAAAAAAGTATCGGGAAAAATGCAAATCAATAATTTTTAATTTTTTTGGAGGGAATTTAAAAAGTTTTGGGGTAGGTTTTTGAGATTATAAGGTTGTTTTGAGGTTTATTTCTTTTAAAATCTTAAGTTGGAAAGTTTGATAAAGAAATTTTAGTCTTGGCGAACCTACTCGAGTCTTGAGATTTATTTTACAGCTAGGAAGGCTCAGCTAAAGTTTTATAGGTTTTAGAAGAGCTTGATTAGCTTAATTTGAGAATTAAAGGCCATAAGTTGAAACCTCAATAGCCTTTGCTCTACTTAAACCTTAATAAAGAATTTGTTTCCAAAATCGAAAATTTAAAAATTTTATTTGATATTCTAAGAATTCTAGAAAAGACTTTAAACCCAACAGATCCATAACGACCTCAAATATAGTTCTTCAGACCTCAAACAAAAATTTTCAAACATCTAATGGTAACCTTAAGGTACAAAATAAGGTAAAAGACTAAACATTGAACCTTAGTAAAATTTTTGAGTACTTGAGATCTCTAAATTGAATTTAAATCACCACTTAGTTGAGAAATAATCGAAATAATCAGAAAACCAACCCCAAAAAAATGTTAAAAATGAGTTTGAAATTGTTTGAATAAGAAATTTGTATCGACTAGGTTGCCAGCAAAAGCGATATACCCTTATAAAAATTATAAAAAATCTTAACTTAAATTCTAGCAAGTAAAAAGAAATATTCCTGGCTAGAATGTACCCTAAATCAGCCCGAACCAGTCAAAAATTAACCTTAAAAATTTCTTTTTTTTTCAAACTAATTTTTTAACAAAATTTCTTCAAAAATTTTAAAAAAATCTTTCAATCTCTTAGAAAAAACTGGAAATAAAATAAAAAGAATCATAATTTGTATTGAAATGGAAAAGAAACTTAGAACATAAGCCTCAAAAAATAAAAAGAAATGAAAAATATGATAAAAAAAGGCGTCAAGCACATGATGCATTTTAAACTAGACATTTAAGGACAAAAAAATATTAAAATTTTTCATTTCTTTCTCTCTAAATTGTCAATTGAATTGAAATAAATTTATTCAGTTTAAAGCAAAAAAAAAAAAATATTTATATTTTCTGTCGAGATTCATTACTTCCGTTTGTTTTTCTTTCCTTTTATTTCACTCTCTATTTTTGGACTTTATTTAAGCAGATATATTTTTTCAAACAAAAAAATTCATGAGACAAAATAGTAACAAAACTCAACCCACAGACAAACAGAGCCGTCAACTCAGAACAGATAAAAGAAAAATTGAAATAATAAGTTTCCCTGCCACAGATGAAACCTCTCTCAGTACGAATTTATATGAATTTGATGATGATAAAATAAATCTACATCATGCACACAGTTGTTGGAAAAATAATAGTCAAGAATTACTGTTTTGTGTTGTTTAATTTTTCTTCTATTTGTGTATTAAGAATGGATTCTTTATGACGATTCTAAGAATAATTTTCTAAATTGTCGAATGTGTATAGTACAAAATTTGGGGTATTGGAGTTGATTGCTGGTGTTTTGATGCTGGCTTGGGATATAAAAATTAATATTTTGCCAAAAAATTCTGTTTAAGTCTATAAATTTTAAATTGAGGACCCCCAAATTTTCTAACTCTGGCTATCGTTAATTACACTTAAGCTAATAATATCCAGAGCTGTAATTAAGTTTTAAAATAGAAGTCACTGTCTTTGACATGATTTGCTTAAGTTTTGCATTTAACAGCTGAAAAATCAAGCAAAAATCAATTCAAATTTCAACTTTTGACTTTGAAAAATCCCAGAACCAAGCACCAACCACTCAATCCTCCCCAATAATCTGCCAAAAAATCTTTCTTTTACTTTCTTTCAAATTTTGTAAATCTCATCAAATTAATTGTTCTTCATTTTTGGTTTCACCAGTTCTGTTTCTTCTTCGTCTTCATTTTAGTTCTTCTTCCTTCCTTTCTATATCCATCCCGGTTTGTTACCGGAGAAAGAATAAGATTTAAATTGCTTACACTTTTTCGATGTTTGCAATGTTTGTCATTGATGAAAAAAAGAAATAAAAAATTAAAAAAAAAAATTAAAATGCTTGATGTTAATTGAAAAATATAAATATTTAAAAAAAAGAAGAAATGAAAAAATATTGAAAAATTAAGAAAAAGAACAATTTGGTGGATGTTCTTAAAAAATCAGATGAATTAATGAAGTAAATATTATGATGGTCTTGGTGGGGTAGAATTTATGAATGTGGTTAAAAAAGTGCAAATAATGTATAGAACCAGATTTTGAGATTCAAATTGAATTTCAAATATTAAACTTTTTTGCTTAAAAATCTATCTTAATTTTGATTTGAGAGAATTTTGAGAATTAGAAGCTTGTAAAATATTCCCAAAGATTTTGGAATTTCATTAATTTACAATTTTCAAAATATTTTCAAAATAATTTTGATTTTTATGAAAAAAAATTTAAATTTCTTTATAAAACTTGAAAAAAATTATTTTAACTTTAATATTCGACATCTCAAATAAATTCCACACCACCAAGAATTCCAACAAATAATCATGATTATTACTTTTAAGATTTTGAAAAAGAAAATCTAAGCTAAGAATTTTTCGTACTAAATTGAATTACTACAGAATTAAAAGATGAAAATTGATATTGAAATAAATTAAAAGAATAAAAATTTTAGTTGAAAAATTCAATTCTCTTTCAAAAAAAAATTGCTGAAAGACGAAACATTTCATGACAGATATAAGAAAAAAAGTGAAATAAATATTCGTAGTTTAAGATGATAAAAAGTGAAAAAAGAAATATAAATAAATAAAAAAATAAAAATCATCAATTTTGAAATTTAAAATAAGGTTTGTAAAACATATTATAAGATTCTCTTAGAATTTGATGGGATTTAAACCCATATTTCAGATTTTTGATCTATAGCTTGTCGATACGACCACAGATGATTTATAATTAACATTCGCATATTCATCTACAAATGACTCGATATCCTAAATTCCAATCAGATCCAACACAGGATTGCTTTTGCATCACCTCATATTCCTTCAAACTTAAACTTAACATTGCATATCATTTTTTATCAATTTCAGCTTCTTATTTTTCAGCCTCATCAATAAAGCCATCATTCAACCGACACTTACTGCCATTTCAAAAAATCGTGGCAAATTTGCAATAATTTGACAGCTTAACGACTTATTCTGGTAGTTTCTTACCAAACAGCGACAGTTTTATGTCTTTTTTAATTCCTTCAAAAATTATTTTAAATTGTCTTGTGTGTATTCAAATTAGATGCATAAAATCGCTCCGTGAGTATAATTGCCATGACTTGATTGGCTCAAAGAAGTAGAAAAAAAAGTTTTCATATCCCCACGACATCTGCGTTTAAC